GGGGGGGGCAGTTAACTTTCTCCTGTTTGTGGTGCTCAGGCTTATGGTCCCAGGTTACAGGTGTTGACATTCTGGGCCTGTTGACACCACTGCTGACAGTGGTATGCCAGGGTATGACCCAACTCAGCTCGATCTGTGGGAGGAAGACCAGGTTTGCTGCTGTGAGTCAGAATGGATGGCACCCAGCAACAGGAAGCCTGCCAAGGTGCCCGTGCCCAGCCTGGGGGCTACTCCCCAGTCTGTCAGTGTCTGAGATGATGCACCAGCAGCCCCAGGCTCACATTCCTCTTTGTACGAAGTAGTGGGTGATTCACAGAACCTTGCATTCTCCAACTCATAGCTGCTCTTGGCGCATGGGTCCAGTGAGAACCAAAGAGAGGGGCCAAAGAGTGGAGACAGTGTTGAGTGTGAATGCAGTGTCTCACCTGACTCTGTGCAATGCCGAAGGCAGGGAACACTCAACTCCCAGGTCCAGCACCTGATTCCAACTCAGGGTGCGGACTGTGTGTTGCCCAGTGGAGCTGCCCAGGAGGTGGCTTTCCAGACTGTAATCCTAACAGAGAGAGACTGCCAGAGCTCTCCACCCCAGAGCCAAGCTTGAACCAAACAACTCTATGGTTAGCACACAGTGTGCCAATTGCTTATACTATTTTAACAAAGAATCTAGGTTATTAAACCATGTCCTCTTGTCACCCTCCTTTGAACCCTGGTGGCTTGTAGTGAGTTATGAGTTGGAAAGCTAGCCCCTAACCACCAGGTCAGCAGTTTGAGCCCAGCAGCCACTCAACAAAAGAAAGAGGAGGCTGTGTGCTTCGGTAACATTGACAGCCTAGGACATAGGAATCCCCTGGATGGCAGTGAGTTGGCATGTAAGCCCTTAGGCTGGGCGGCTGTCTGCTTGTTAGCTGCTTTCGGGTTACCTCTGACTCTTCGTGGCCCTGTATGCTCAGAGCAAACACTGCTGGTCCTGTCCCCATCTGGGACACAGTTGTGGCAATCCCTCTCAGGGAGTGGCTCTCGAATTTTCCCTCACCAGGTTGGTAGCTGGTCTTGTTTGATGACAGGTCCAAAATCTCGCTGTCGATTCTAAGGAACATTCTTGTTGTATTTGTTTGTTCTTCTGTCAATCAATTATTGTGCCTCGTTTTCACTGCCCAACGTTTGTGTGCATATGAATGTGACTGAAAAGACCCCAGCTTTGGTCATCAAAGTGCTTAAACAGTTCCTTTCAAGATGCTGTTTGCCACAAATTTGGACAACGCGGTATATAATTTAATTTCTTGACTGCTGCTTCCGTGAGGTTATGTGTTGAGACTGATAACCAAAAGGTCAGCAGTTTGAACCCACCAGAGGCTCTGCGGGAGAAAGATGAGGCACTCTGCTCCCATAGAGTTGCAGCCTTGTTAAACCCACAGGGGCAGTTGTGTCCTATTAGGTCACTATGAGTTGGGCTGGACTGGACAACAGTGAGGTTGGTTTGGGGAGGTGCTGACTCTATTGCTTCAGCAGAATGAAATCCTTACCAGGCTTCGCCTTCCCCTTTGATCGTGGTATGGTCAAGTTCAGTTGTTCACCTCCTTCTTGCTAATTCCACACTGAGAATGTTTCTGGCTCAGACCAATTTGTTGCTGATGGCATGAAGTAATTTCTTGAGCTACATGAATGGAGTGGCTGGCAGGCCCAGGGCAGCAGACATACAGACAGAGACAGACCCTCACCTGCTAGTGAGAAGGTAGGAATGCATAGTGTGAATGAGTCCCAGCAGGTAGGAGTAAAGAGACTCCCTGGTCGCCTGGCAGAGGGCTGCACGGAGAAAGTATGACCAGTCACCAGAGAGCAGAGAAGTCCCTGGTAGAAGCTGGGCTATAGCTGGGTGGAGGGAGGCTGCTAGCCCGGGTTCCCTGGCTGCAGAACCTCCGGGCCACCAGATGGCCTCACACTGTCATGCAGGAGTGCCTTCCTCCTTGTGTCACTCAAGCGCCCTCTGCTGGGAAAACACTGCACCTCGCTCTTAAATAGGGCCTGAGGTCAACCGCAGAGCCAACCCAGAAAGGGGTGTGAGGAGTTGGGAAGGTGGTGTTCCAGCTAGTGGCCTTAATTGGAATTGCCTGCTTGCTAGGACCCTGGTGGGGAAAACTGGCTCACACTTCCTGGTGGGGCTCCACTTGGGGAGATGAGACATTGGGCACTGATAAGGGTGGGACTGCATGCCAGAGCCAGTGGTATGTTTCACTTCTGCTGTTGAGCTACAGGTGGGCCAAGGTCCATGTCACCAGTGGCTTGTTTGTTTTTGT